TATATCACAGTTAAGAGGAGGCTGAAGTCAAGAACACAAAACTCTAAAGAAAGCAGCATTAACACAACACATCCTATTACTAATCAAGAAAATACCTTTGATTGCCTATAACATGAAGACTTGATGAACTCAACACTTACTTGTATTTTAGAAACCCTAAAAACCAACACTGACACTAGAAAGTGTTCTCAGTCTTTTCTATCAAAGACTTTTAAAAGGCATGGTGGACCAATCCTGTAATTCCAGTATTCAAGAGGCAGGAAGACTGTCAGAAGTTTGAAGTTGGCCTGGTTTACACAGCAAGTTCCAGGTCATCTAGGACTACAATGAAACATCAGGGGAAGCAAGAATCTTTTACATTTTCATATGAGAAATCAATAGTAAGATATCTTTACCAACATTAGGGGTATTCCTATTAAAGTTCTCAACACAAAATCCATAGAGCTGCGGAGATGGCTCAATGGGTGAAACACTTGCAGTCCAAGTATGAAGACCTGAGTTTAACTCCTCAGAACCAATGTAAAGCTGAACACAGCAGAGCACATCTGTGATCACAGAGCTCGGGCAAGATGGGAGGGAGAGACAGGAGAGTCTCTAAAAGCAGGTCAGCTAGCCTGCGGTAGGCAGCAACCAGCAAACAGATACTGTCTTAAACAAGGGAGAAGGCTAGAACAAAGATCTCCACACACATTCTGTAGTACATGCATGCCTACACATATATTATGCACACATACATCATACACGTACACACACAAAGAACTTAGAAAATTTAGAAATTCTCTCTTCGGGTAAACCTGGCAATCATCCTACCATTTCTGCTATACTCCTCCGTCATTCTGATGTCATTTATTTTTTTTCCTCAGGTCTCTGTTACACACTCTCCAATTCCTCCTTTCTTTCCGCTGATGACCAATCCTCACAAACAGAGATACTCAGATGAGACCTGAAGCTATCACCATCATGTTTCTACCCATTTCTGCCTTCCCTCCATTTCTATAATAGCATGCCCTACTGGTGAGGCAAATGCAAAGCTAGGTGGTCACAGCCTTGCAAACCACAAGGCATGCCAGCCTCATGCCACCTGCAGCTACGTTCACACTACGGAACAGCAAGCATTGTCACTGAATGAACACTGTATGGCTCACCCTACCTGCACCACTTACATTTAGTCTTTAAAGCAGACTGGCTACATGACCCACTAATCTCTGTGCATAAGTAATGAAGATTCACAGGATGCATACAACACACCAAAGCTACATCAGACACACTGATGACAAAAGAAAAAAATCTTAAGATCACCTCACATGTAAAGGAAGAAAACTGAATGGCACTAAGACATTTCAACAACTTGAAGGTAGGAAACCATTCAGCAATCTTTCTATTTCGCAGGGCTCCCTTCTATTTCAAGAAAAAAGTATCATCTTAATTCGGGATCTAACCCAGACAGTGATCAAGGCAGAAAAAAGTATTTTCAGCAACATCAACAACTCAAAAAGTTCACGCTACCACACGTATTTTGTTTATGAGTCAGTCTTAACTTTGATCCAGACCTGCCTAGAACTCCTAGCAATCCTTCTGCCTCAGCTTTTAAGCATTGGGATTATAAGTCTAAGCTGTTTTTAAGCCAGCAAGAGATGCATCTCACTCAAATAGACAGGACTCTTGTCAGGAACACAGAGATGGGAGCTGTACACCCCAGTGTATAGAGCAACACTGCAGACTGAGCAGGAGCAGAGGCTTCTTAGATGCTCCCAATTTTTAACAAGTTTGAATACCTATCATATGTTGATAGATTTGAGCAGACTATAATAATAATAATAATAATAATAATAAAGACAAATAAAGGAAAATACAGAAGAAACGAATGCAAACAAATTTAATCATAGTATACTGCAAGGTTCACTTTTAAACATATTTACAGAACAATAATGAAGTAAAAGCATGTAATCAATGAATGTGCAATCAAAAGAATGATGTCACAATACAGGGAAGACAATAGAGGAAGTTCAAGGTAGCATAGGAAAGCATCCTAAAGCAAAACCACTGTAAAAAAAAAAAAAAAAATCTAAAGTTGGAAAACAAAACTGCAGAACCTTGCACTCATGCCTTCAGAAGAAAGAAAGGAAAAAAAGAAGTATCAGCTAACAGTATCAAAAACTGCGATTCCATAAGCAGGACCTAGGACCTAGGAGGAAAACCATGAAGAGATGAGGGAGGGGACTAAAGGTTTCTAGAGTCTTAGTACTTAAAAAAAAAAAAAAGACAAACAACAAAATGGCCATATATCACTTAATACCAATACCAATTACTTTACTCTCTGACCAATAATTACTTTTCTAAGAAGGGGGGAGAGGGAAGGGATGAGGAGGTTGACAATTAAAACCCATCTGGAATATTTAAAATGAGTTCTTGAATAAAACTTGTGAACCAAAGAAAATAAAACTATAAAGCATGAAAAAGGAAAGAGTGGAGATTAATTAAAATCTACTGGAATTTTATCATATCCAATCTTCATTCTCTCACTAAGAAGGAACTAATGGGAATTTAAGCCACACTTAAGGAAGCAATTATTGGGTAATGCAATAAACTCACTCTCTTTTCCAAGGGATCTACTAACACTAATGTAACTTCAAGCTATCTGATTTATATTTTTATTGAAAACAAAATAACTATTACAAAGTGTGAAATCCAGACAGAAGTAACTATTTCAAACATTAGATAACAAAAACTTTGTATTCAAAACACAGGATCTGTTTTAGTGCATTTTATATATGTGCTCATTTCACATACCAAAACAAAAGCAGTAGTTTCGGAGAAAAGAGCCAATTGCAACTAACAGATTAGCTTTTAAAAGCAGGGAGGTAGTAACACATTCCTCTAATCCCAGCACGCTGAAGGCAGAGGCAAGCAGGTATCCATGAGTTCGAGGGCAGCCTGGTCTACAGTTCCGTAACAGCCAGATCTACACAGAGAAAGCCTGTCTCTAAAACCAAAAACAAAAGAAAACAAAAAGCTCTTTGGAGGCCAAGTGTGCATCTTTCAAAAAAACTCAACACTCCAGTAAGAGCTACAGTCTGGACTGGGAGTCACTGGTGGCTCATTTCCCACTCTGATATGGAGAGAATAATGCCTACCTAGGGTAAAGGTTAATTACTGATAGCCCTAAGAAGTAACAACATATTTATAAATTCTATTAATGCTTTGAAATCTACAAAGACCTACACCAATGTGTGTCACAATGATTAATAATCAGCATAAAATGATCACTTCTCATTTTTCTTTTAGCAACAGAAGGACAAGAGTGTTGTTTCATTGTTGGAAGAGGGATGTTTTACTTAATTCTTGAAGAGTCTTACAACTAAGTACCAAGAGAATACCAGCAAACATTTAAGTATATAAACCAAGAGTATAATTGTTTAGCCACAAAGAAACCACATACTCTCTGGTTCCAGGTAGAGTATGTATTTTGAGTATGTTTGGAAACCAAATACCCCATGTGCATAAACACAGGCATAGTTTAGGGCAACTGTCTTGATGCTTTTGTTCACTAACAGTTCCTTCTATTTTCAGAAGGAAAAATGCAAACAATACCCAACTCAAAAGCACTTGAGTTTTTTAAACTAACAGACCTGCCCGCTTATCAATTTATCTCCATCATGGCACACAGCTATTTTTCTTCTGCAGGGTCCCCTCCACATCCACCAGACTACAGCACCAACCAGGTACTCAATGTGTGTAGAAAAAACTAGCCTCTGGACAAAGGCTTCAAAGTAGCTTGGCCTGGAAGTACACGCCTTTAATGCCAGCACTCTAAAAGTAGAGACAGGCCTTTCTCAGTGACTTAGAGGCCAGCCTAGTCTACATGGTGAATTTCAGGACAGCCAGGGCTACACAATGAGATCCTGTCTCAAAAAAAAAAAAAAAAAAAGGAGGTTCAATTGCAATCAAATTAACTTCATCAACAAAGCCATCTTTCCCCTCACACAACCACCGTCCCCGTCCCAATTGTAAGGACATAATAAACTAAAAAAGATACTCTAGTAACTGCACACAAACTGCATTACTCATACATATCTAATTCACAGCTGATTTTTAAATTGTATTTTTCCTCTCAGAATTTTTGGGTGTATCTTTCCTGATACTGTAATATCAGAAAAGTATACTGTGGTCTTTACAAAAATATCTTTCAACTTCTGCTGCAATCTGGTGTAAAAAGACAAAGTGAACAGTATTTCTGGAAAAAAAAAAAAAGTGAAGTTCCTAAAATCAGGGAAAGGTAGGATATGATGGGGTGTGGAGGAAGATGGGTCTTAGTATTTCAAAATTACTATGGCAGAATTTAAAGCTTCAAATAACTACCCTGAAATTATTCAGGAAAACTCTAATAAACACATTCTAAGACACGTAATTTTCCACATCTCGAAGCTTCTTGGCTACCCACGCTCACTAGAGGTTATTATTATTATTAAAAATGATACTGTTCGATTATAAATCCCACTTCAGCAGTAACAGCATTACACTTATTGTATTTGTGATGCCACAGCCGGAACAGTCATATCTGGGTGGGACAGGCTTTATAGTTTGCAAGTTACCAACTGTGGCACAGCGGTTCTCCTGCATGCAGGGAATGAAAAGTTCCTCGAGATTCTAATGGTCATCTTCAAAGACACATGGGCTCGAGTCCACCGGATGGTAAACATTAAGCAAACAACGCCAAAGTCAACTCATAAACAAACACTGGCACAGAAACAAAGCTCTACAGCTACTCAAGCGTTATTGAGAGAAAGAAAATACAGAGCACCTACGAGGAAAGGCTCAATTAACTGCCGCCGGTGTTTTCATCCTCCGATCTCAAACAATAGGCACTGGATGCTTCTGTGGAGCGCTTTCTGCAGAAAGATTTCGGGTTGCAACCGCCCCTCCTCCACAGCTAGCTAGCATCAGGGCCCTTTCTTCCTCCTCCCTCACCCCTCCCAGCTCAAACAAATTAACATTCGTACCGAGGCACCTCCTATCAGCTCGCAGCTTCTTCCCAAACACGCCCACGCACCCTGAAACCCGCCTGCGACTACACCGCACACGGCGGCAGGAAAAGCGCTTCGAGGGGGGCGGGGAGCCACGGCAGAGCACAGGTCCGGGCTCCCTTCCAGGTCAGCTCCCCATCACCTCCCAAGCCCGATGTTTACGAGCCCGCCGAAGCCCACACAGCAAAGGAATTCCGGACGCTGCGGGCACATAGCGCGGCGGTGCGGGAGCGCCCCCCCCCGTGTCCGCGCGCGGCCTCGGCTGCGGCGCAGCTCACCTCGCGCTCCGCGGGCGGTTCGGCCCCGCAACAGGTCACCCCGCCTCGGTCCGCTGCGGGGTGCAGGCACCCGGCCCGGGAGGGGGTGTGTCTGGTACGGCGGGGCCCGGTCCGGCTCACCTGAGAGGCTGAGGCGACGCCGGGGCCTCCGCCACCGCGGGACCGTGAGCGCCCCTCAGCCCGTCCTCCCTCCCGTGCTGCGCACCGCGGCCGCCGCCATTGCCCGCGCCTCCCCGCACGGCCGCCCGCCATGCCGACCTGTGTAGCCGCGGCCGTCGCCTCCGCTTCGCCCGCAGCTCCGAGACGGCGCTCTTCTCAGCCAAGCAGTCGGCGTCTCTCATTCAGTGCCGGCCGCCGGCGGTCGGGGGAGGAGAGTGCGCCGGATCCACCCCGGCCGCGCAGGGGGCGCGCGGCGGGCGGGCGGGGCGGAGCGGCGCGCGCACCAACCGAGCGCGCTCGCGCGGCCGGGAGCTCCGGGTCGCCGGGGTCTCGGCGCGCGCTGCGGACGCCCGGCTGGTGCCCGCCGAGCCCAACTGCCGCCCGTACCGGTGTCCGCGCCGCGCCGCGCGCCGCAGCCGCAGCCGCAGCCGCAGCGCGGACCGCAGGGAAGAGCCGCAGGGCTCAGGCTCAAGACGCACAGGTGGGGCCCTGCGGCCGCTCCTGCGACGCGGGCGCAGCTCACCTTTAAGGCCTGAGAACTAAAGTCGGGAAACGCTTGGCCCCAGGAGCAGATGCCCAGCCCACGCAAGTGGCGTCCTCAGTTGTGGCGGATAAGTGAAGGGGCTGCAAATGGCAAAGTGTCACCCCACAGCGGTGGGATCGTAAATGATGGAGGCAGTGCTCTCAGACATTAACATGCCGGAAGTGTTGGGTAGGCCTCTGTAGGTGCTAAGCAGGGTGACCGACTGCCCTGGGTTTAATGAACAAATAACAAGAAATTTGACATGCCCCAGTCCCAGACTGATGAGCTCCAGGTGGACCTTGTGGGGACGTGACATTAAAATGGGATATCCCCCCCCCCCCCCCCGCGCATTGAAAGGGGATGGAAGGGTGTTGTTTCGCAGGGTGCACCTAGGTGGCCTACTTAAAATTAGCACTATTCGATGCAGTGTGACTTAGTGGAAGGTTTTTCAGTGAGCCACCTAGGTGTATCATTAGGTCATTCGGGAATAGCAGCACTGACTGTAGATCGTGAAGGGACCAAAATTGTTCGTTTGATGCCCCGCCTCCATATAATACCTGAAACAGAGTGGGTTGCTCTGCCTTCTGTCAGCCTTAATTCTAGTTGGAGAAGGTAGAATGCTTCTTTGTCCCCTTGGCTAAATCACCCCCATGCAAAAAGTAGGTAGAAGGTAGAAACAAAGCAAGAAAAAGCAATAAAGCCCAATGTTGGATTTTATTCCATTTTACTTTGGAAGTCTCCCTCGTGGTGGGATCACTGAGAAACCAGGGGGGGGGGGCAGGGAATGCGACTGTCAAAAGTTCAACTGAGAGTAGAATAAAAAACGGGAGGGAAGAAACATGATTGTCCCAAAGGCTTCAAGTGCATTAGATAGTTTTCCCCTTGATACCATTTGCTTCAAGTCCCAATGAAACAATGGGCACACTGAAATAACAGTTTCACTTACTGAGTAAATGTTTGATCTTTTTTCTGAGTTAGAAAAAGATTAAGGAAAAAGTGGTTGGCTACGTGGCAACAATAATGCATACAATATATATATATATACACACACCATTATCCCAAGTTATTAACTGCTTTTAAAATAGTAAACTAAGGAAATCGGGGAAATCTATTCAGTATAAATGTCTTGCACTTACTTTAAACTTCAATTGGGGCTTCATAAAAACAAATGAATCCAGGTCTCTACGTCTGCCAATAATTTTCACAGTTTACTGTAAAAGCAATAGCTCAGACTTCGAAGAGAAAAAGTCCAGGAGTTCATCCATCCATGTATACAGTATATTCCTGTGCCTACAGAACGTCTGGATTTTGTACAATCACCCAAAATGTGTCAGTCCTGTTGACAGCCTGCAAAGATCACACTTTATTAACCTTATGAGTTGAGTTAAAATTTTTCTGAACTTGATAAGGTTGGGAATTTCTGTGTGAAGAAAAAGTTGCAAGAGCTGGGAAGATGAGTGAGAAGGCAAAGGCACTACTAACCTTGCAGGCTTGAGGACCTGAATTCAGTCCCTGGGTGGCAAGTAAAAAGCCAGAATTTAACAAGCATTTGTAATCCCTGAACTCCTGCAAGGCAATGGGAGGTAGAAACCGGAGTCTCTTAGCTAGAAGCTCTTGGGCCAGTTAGCCTGTATTGTGCAGCTATGCCTATGAGAAATCCTACCTCAACCAGGTGGAAAGTGAGGGCTACCCTCTGCCCACAAGCTATGGCCTGGGTGCCCACATTTGCACACACAAAAAAAGAAAGACACTTGCTCTGTAATCCTAGGGCTCAGGTGGCTGAGGTAGGAGGCCAGCCTGGGCTACAGTCTAAGACCCTAAGCCAAAAAGATAGAAAAAAGCTTATGCTGTTTTTGTTGTTGCTTATAAACTGAGTTATTTCAAAGTCTGTTCCCCATCCATTTATATGTAAATAAAGCAGTTACTACTTGCAACAAATTTTCTTTACCAGAGCACTATTTTTTTATAGTTCTGTAAGTTGCTTTATGAGTTCCATTTGCTTTTGCCAAAAGAGGAAATATGCACAGTCTTAGAACAAAAAATGCTAATGGATACAACAGAAATGCTATTATATAAAATAGAAATCGATAAGAATTCAATGTGCTTAAAGTCATTTCAGGGGAGTCACCATTGTGTAACAGTTTTATTACTATGCATTACATTACTTCCAAGGGGTAAGCCAAGGGACCCATTTAGATAAGAATGAGCGCTTCAAAGACAAGACACCACTAGAGCAAAAAGCAAATCAACAAACAATTCATCTCATTGTCAAAACCAAGCCAGGCAGGCATCTTGAAGTAACATCAGCTATGATTCCAATGTTCTGATGGAAAATATAGGCAAAACAGGATTTCCAAAATTTCTCCATGATGGGACAGACTTTGACAGATGCACATCTATGAGAAGAGTCTGCCAGACATCCAATAAAGAGAGACATGCTGTAGAGTCAGGGTACTAAGGACAACACTGAACAGAGCATTCAAATCTGGGTGCCATATTTAGTAATTACACTTAAGCTGTTCCTTCCAGGAGCTGTTCTACGTTGGGAATGAATTGGCAGGGATTTATTTACTTAACGATGATTAATATTTCCCTGGGATTCCCTTTGGGGGTGTTTATGTATAAACAAATGTTTGTGTGTTTTAAAATGTTTCAATGTTAGAGGCAGCTTCAGTGGTGCCTTCTTTATCTGACATGGTTGCTAAAGGAGTCAGTGAAGGGTTGCTTATAATTAGTTATTCTAGATAAACTGGAAAAGGTTTAAACCATTTTCATTGATTTTTTTTCTTTGAAATTTCATCACATTTTGCTTTAAGCTAATAAAATACAATATGGCTTGTAGCTCAGAAGTATAGTGCCTGCCTAGCATGTTCAAAGCCCTGGGTTTGATCTACGGTATCACAAGAAAACAGCACATTGTAGCTGAACCTTTTCCTGGCGACCCAGCAGTAATGTGATTAAAATCAAAAGCTGTGATACAAGATGTTCTCAGGAACTTACAGTACTTACTCTCTTAGCAACTGAGTAGGCAGTCTTGGCCGACTGACTCTGTCCCTGTAGTCTTGTCACAGATGTGGCACTAAGAACTGAGTTTTCTGCTGTCGTGTTACTGTCCCTGCTACTAGAGCACTGCCTTGCTGTGGCCATGTACACACACACACCCTGAATTGCCTTATAGCATGTCAGAGTAGCCTGGGAAACCAAATAAACAATGTTCTAAACAAAACACAAATGCTAAAACAGCTCTGACTTTGGGACCATTTATTTAACAGAAAATTCTTTTGTCTACTTTCATGCCTTCCTCTACGTTTGGATAATTGCATTTATCTGATAGCATAGCTTTTTTTTTTCTTCATGTAAGTGAATTATACTCAACTTCCCTTATGAGAAACTGAAGCATAACTTTTCAGATGTAATGGAAAGGAAGGTTCCTTGTCCAATATCACATCAGTTTTCTTTTTAATCAAATAGGTTCAAGTTCTCATATTCATAAATCCATACTAAAATAGATTGGCTAAGGATATATTTATAGGTAGGTGGTAGAGTACTCATATAGTATGCATGAGGCCCTGAGTTTGTCCCCCATCACTGATAAATGAACTACTGAAAAGTAGGGATAAGAACAAATATCATATGGTACAATTAGAATGGGGGAAAATCATTATGCAATAAGTGGCAAATATTGGGGAGAACCATCAGTGAAACTATATTTAGGAAAAAGTGTAGATGAGGCGCCAGATGCTTGCCTTGTCTTAGTCAGTTTGTCCACTTTTGTCAGCTACAAGGGCAAAACCAATCAGCCACACTTGAATCACAGATGAGACAGACATTATTTGCTTTCAGATAGGATTCTTTGGAGAAGTAAAGCTCAGTCCCCAGTGAGCAGTATTTGTTTGTTTGTTTGTTTGGGGGTGGATAATTTTTAGGTATGCTAATGTCATAAAAGACAAAAGCTGTGAAAATATCAGAGTGCAAGAGGTGTGATACTGAGTGTTGCATGAGATACAGGCAATAAGTACATCAACAATGTCCAGTCCATTTGCATTTTACAAATTAAGAGAAAATACTCTGATGAGAGATGTCATTCTGTAAATGTGTTCTATGTTTTTTGTTTTGTTTTGTTTTTTATTGGTTAATGAATAGAGCACTGCTGGCCTATAGGAAAGC